CCTGGCCCTGTCTCAAGCCCCAGTCCTGGCACACAGAAAAAGGGGGAGGGAAGGGGAAGGAAAAAGGAAGGAAAAGGAAAGGAAAGTGCATATAAAATACCTGGAGAAGATTCAGTTCATGAAGTGTATTGAAACCTTGAAACACTAAGGTGAATAAAACACTGTTTTCATTTCCAGTGGACCTCTCAGCTCTAGGAAGAGATCTGTAATGGCATTTTACATGCTTATTGCTGCTATACATTAGGTGTTCTTGACATTCAGAACACAACAAAGAAAAAAGATATATTTTCTCTTACAGAGAGAACATAAAATATCAGCTATACAGCAAGTCACTGTATCTTTTTTTTCTCTGTGAAATCTCTTTACAGAAATGTTATTGTCAAAGTGATGAGAGCAGTTACTGTTACATGAGTAAGATAGTGACTATATTTCTTGTCGAACTTGTTATCCCCTCTCTCATTTTTCTCCTTTCCCTCTCCCCTCTCCCCCAAGTTGTACAGGTCATTTCCAACATACTGTCTTGTGAGTATCACTGTTGTTGCATTGTTTTACCCCTTTGTCCTTTGTCTCACCATTTTGTTGTTCCCTTTCCCTTCCCTAATTCAGACAAACATATATACAATTCCCAGGGAACCAAAATCAAATACAGTGACAACAGGGGATAAACCATAGGGGGGAAAACACAAAAGCAAAAAGACATTACATAGTACATTAACAACAACAACAAGTTGATAACTGTAGCTGTGACGGAGAGCTGCTCCACTGAGATGACATTTTTCTGTTTCATAATTTCCAGGAGACAGGGAAAGCACACACCAGCATGGGAGATGAGGGCAAGGGAACAAGTATACCCTTCAAAAGTCACTTCAGTGGCCTGTTTCCTCCAATCAGCTCCCACCACCTTTTACTCAGTCAACTAAGATTCATCTACTGATGACATCCAGGCCCTTAACCACCTATCAACTGTAGCTGGAACCAAGGTTTCATAGCCAAACCCCAACCCTGTAAATAAATACTTGCTGAACAAATGGAGGGACAGTTTAACAAATGGGATAAATGAGGTAGTGATCCATTGGTTGTGACTATTAAATGAAATATTTGAAGTAGCCCTGTTTTCTCTATTGTGAATGTATGCGATGACAAGGACATCACCAAGAATCAAAGAAAAATTGAGTTGGTAGAGTGAGGAGTGGGCTAGTTCTGAAAATAATTGATGTGAGATATACATTTGAGGTGCTAGCAGAACGACCAGAGTGTAAATGCCCAGAATTCATTTCAGTCACTATCAAATGGCAGTTTGGAATGACTTTTCCTGTGGTTTTCTAAATATTATAATGTATATCTATATGTATATGGATGGGCACAAGTAAACTAAGGGAGCTAATTTTTAACACTTTGTGTTGACATGATTCAGCAATGAATTAGAATTGCAAAAAAGGCAGCTATTATTATTCCTTTAAGGAAGTTTCTGAGCTGAAGTTTCTTTAGGCTAGTAGAGAATGATGGAAAATATTAGGGCTGACTGTGCAGAGTTTTTTGGCAGGAAATGATTAAGAATGTCTTTCAAGTTTCTTAATATAACTATACCTCAAAGATTCATCTCTTATAATACAGTATTTTTAGGAAGTAGAGGAGAAATAGGAAAATATTTGCAAAAAAGTAATATCACTTTCCTCTATACTAGTGTTTATTTTCTTAGACTTTGCTCATATAAATGCATCTTTCTTTGTAGGTTTGTTAAAATATAAAGCATTTTCTATAAAAGTGAGTAAAGAGATTTCTCCAGTTTTTTTTAGAAGAAGAAATATAGGAGGGTTCAAGTTTCCATTAAAAAAAATCTCTTGTCAATAAGACTTCATTTTTGTCTTAGTTGGAGCCTATTGTTGGCTCCTCAGGAGCAATGGTTACCATGTCCTATGGTCTATTAAAATCTAGAAGAAAAGACAAGATTGTATGTTTAACTGTTCCACCTGAAATAACATTGAATTGCAATCCTCTTTAGATGCTATGAATTTACATTATACCTAATTTTTACTTGAAGAAATGTGAAAGGTGAAGACTGTCACAGTTCACAAAATGGCACATCTTAATGATTCTTCCTTGATTTTTGTAGCTTCCAGTGCCAGCTGGTTTATTCAGTGAGACTAGTGAATAGGTATGTGAGTTTAACTTCACAGTTACTTGTTCTGAATTCTATGCAAGCGTTCTTTTGAAGAATTTCTATTGTTATAAAGGTGAATTACAGAAGGTTTACAGTTGCGTAAGTCAAAGAGAACATTTCTATTTTGGACAGTGTCACCCCTTCCTTTGTACTCTTCCAGTTTTTCCTTCCCATCTCCAATATATAGGGCCTCTGAAAAGGACATAGCAGTAACCTTTGGATTTCTTCCTTGGTTTCCTTTCTACTTGGAATTCCTTCCCTGTACTCCATTAAGCTGTGACTTAATCTGATGTTGCCTATCTCCCAGGGATATAAAACTGCAGTTGTGTTAGTTAGCATAAGATTGCTGGAAGGTCAGCTTTGTTATTTTTGAAATGCCAGAGGAGTCAAGGAGAAGACTTAGCACGCATGCACTGTTCACAGTTGTCAGATTTGTCCAGGAGTACTGGTGATTGTTGGAGACATGAGTATTTCTATCTTAATTACCGTGGCTACCTCGTTGGCCTTTGGTAGGATGTTATGACCCTGTTGCCTGTTGTCCCTGGATTGAGGGCAATGCTTAGAATGAATTGTATTTTTTTCAGCTGTTTTGGGGTTGCCAGGACTGAAACCATGGTCAGTTTTTTTTTTTATACTTATGTCATTACTAAATATTTACTCTATAATTCAGGGTAGAAGTTTTCCCTTTAATATTTGCAGGACTAGACTAGTGACTTAGTGATTAGCCGCCAAAAGTTAAATATTATTTGAATATATTTGCTACTTGGTCACAAAATTCTTCATTCCAAGTTTTATAATTAGTATATTTCACATCTCTTTCCAGTTTATTTTGTTTCTTAAATGGAACACCATTTTCATTCCCAAATATCTTTCCTGTGTTATTGAGAACCAGAATGGCTTACTGTGGAAGCAATGTGCTCTTTGTCCAGATGTATTGAATAAATTTTATAGCCTATTCAATAAACACTGACATTCCTTAACATGCATGGTGCAGCCATAGAATACTTCAGTAAACATTCTCTTCTTTGTTTTCAGCTTTGTGCTAATTAAAATTCTATTTGGTACATTTTCTCATGTCTTAGAGGTCATTCTCTAAGCAGGAATTATTCCTCCCACTGCAGGATAACCTGAGTAGAATTTTTAGTACTTGCAATGAGCTGTAAAATATGTAAGTACTTGATGGTGTTGTATAAGGAAGGTTGTAGAAGGCGGTGGATATGCAGAGAATTTGGTGGTCTGGAAGGTTGTTGACTCTATATATTTCACTTAAAGAGTCTAATTTTTTTAGCTGAGCAGTTAGAAATACTGCAGTAACATTTTAAGGACCATTTACGGTATTGGTTGAAATTGTATGGTGGTGCTTTGGGTTGCCTTTAGTATCTGATAAACAGTTGTGTTCTTTTAGGGAGAGGGGATTGTATATGGTGCATGGTTTTCACTATGGAGAGAAAAGAGAAGAAATGTGACTCTCTTAGGAACAAGTAGGGAAATGACAAGGAGAAATCAGTCTACGGAAGATCACTTCACTTTTAGTATTTTACTTTTATTTTAGTGTTTTTAAAATCTTTTAAGCATGTATTATACTTTATTGTGATCCAAACTAAAATCAATTCACTATTATTCCTTTAGTAATAGTTTTTTTTTGTTATTACTATCCAGTATTATAAACTGTAAATAATGCCACACTTTCATATGAGTGGCAATGGAATCGATTTTTCTTCTCGCTTCCTCCTTTCCTTCCTCCCTCCCCTTTCCTTTTCCTTTTCCTTTTTCTTTTCCTTTTTCCTATCTTTTCCTTTCCTTTTCCCTTTCCCTTTTCTTTTCTCTTTCCCTTTCCTTTTCCCTTTTCCTTTCCTCCCTCCCTTCTTCCTCCTATCTGTTGTCTTCTTTCCCTCAACATTCCTGCTTCAACTTGACTTCATTACCATGCTTGGTAATCTCAATTTAAACAGCTTGTCTCTTAATCTTGTCGCTATGTTGGTAGTCATCCCTCGCATCAGACCCACCTTGTCATCATCTCGTCCCCTCTCTGTCCTCCATGTCCTTCCTTCCTTTCCAAAGTTATTGTCAACCTGTTGTACCTCTCTTGTTTTGTTATTTTTGTTGGTAAAACCTTCAGCTGTCATTAAATTCAGGGCTACTTGTAGCTTCTTGTTAAATGAGCTAATACAAAGTAGATACAACATCTAAAAAATCTTCTAAATCTTTCAATACTATCAAACTGGTTTATGTTAAATCATTTAGATATCTACTGTCTTTATAAAAGTTGTCACAATAATGAAATGACTCATGTTTTATGTGATTTTTTTACTGTTTATATGCTTTTTTATTTTATTGTCAAAGTGAAGTACAGAGGGGTTACAGTTACATAGGTAAGGTAGTGATTTCATTTCTTGTCTGATTTGTTACCCCTACCCTCATATTTCTCCCTCTTTCCTTCCCCCTCAACCCCTCCCCAGTTGTACAGATCATTTCCAACATACTGTCTTGTGAGTATCGCTGTTGCATAAGTTCCCCCTTTGTCCTTTTTCTCCCCATTTTGTGGTTCCCTAGTTTGCGTGATTTTTAATAATCTGTTGACAAGTGGAAATGTAATTATTGTTTGCACTCTAACACAAATTGCAATAGACTCTACATTGGGCCACAGGAATTCTTAAGAGTAAATGCAAAATTTTCAGGGTGTGAAATTTTCATACATTCATGTGGTTTGCAGGAAAAACTAGCATCTTTAGTGTACAACATGTATCTCATAAATAAAAATAATTCAAGTGTTTCATAGAGCTAATGTTTTTCTTATGCTCGTCATAAGACTAATGTCTATGTAAATGTATATTAATAGGAAATTGCCCGGCATTTGCGCCCTGACACCCTCAGAGCAATCTTTGGTAAAACTAAGATCCGGAATGCTGTTCACTGTACGGATCTGCCAGAGGACGGCCTGCTAGAGGTAAGCCAGGGACGGGCCAGCTCCTGTTCACATGACAGTCCCATAAGGAATCCCAGCAGGAAAATCCGGCGTAGGAGAAGCCATGTTAATAGTCTAGGGTTACACTGTTACTTGGCCATCTGATAACATTGGACTGTAACTTTAAAGGACCGGTAGGATGGATTTGTCCCACATGTTCCAAAGCTGGAGCAAGAGAAGTGCTTGAATCCCAGGAGTTCCAGGCTACCCCTAACACCATTGAACACAGGAGTTCCAGGCTAGCCCGGACACCTTTATAAGGCTCTGTCTCTGAGGAGAAAAAGAGTTCAAATTTTAGGATGCTAAATATATAACATATATATATTCATTAAAGAATTAAAGATATAGTTTAAAATAATAAGCAAGACACTACAGCATCAATTAAATTATGTGACATAAGTTTTTAAATCAGGTGGCAGTACCATTTGTCAGACCATGTTGTTACAAGTCATGAAAATATTCCACTGAAATTTAAGAGCACAGTAGAAAAGCAAATGGCATAAAATCTCATAGCTCCATTTCTTAGTGCTTTTTATATGTCAAGTTCTACCATGATACATGCTTTGTATAAATCACTTATTTCACAAAACCATAATAACACTAATAGCCTGGTATTATTATGTCTATCTTTTCTGGAAAATGAAATTGAGACACAGAGAGGTTAAGTAACATCCCCAAATCAAATACTTAATAGAAGACAGAGCCATATTTTGACCTCTAATTTATTTAATTAATTTAAATAAGAAAAAATGAAAACTGATTTTAAAAAGTAAAAATCTATTTTGGGGCTTAAAGGCTCATTTCTAAGCTAAAAGCAAAGAAAGAAAGGTCAGCTAAGAAGTTGCTATTTTTAACTTATTTGTAGTTTTAAAGCTTTTATGTATTTCTAAGGAAATTAAATGAAATTTAAAGAAAAATGACAAATTTAAGTGATTATAATAGCAATGGCCAAAACTAGTTGCTATTCTTAATCTATATTTTTGTGATTGTTACTTGCTTTCTGTGTAAAAATCTATTAGTCTTTTTTATTATTTCTGCCTTTGAAGTCATATATAAAAGTCTCCCCCCCTCCCCATATTTCTTCTTCAATTTAAATTTTATAAACCACCTGGAATTTATTTGATCTTTTGGATGAGGTATGGATTTTGCAAGTTGTCACCACATTGTATATTCTATTGTTTTATTGTTCTTCGTCATTTATTGAATACTTACAAATACCTAAACTTGTTTATGGACTTTAAATTTTAGCCCATTAGTATGTCTCAGCAAAATACTATTTTTATTATTGCCGTTTATACTTTACAAAAGTTTTTTTTTGTTATTCTCTTAAATGTATTTCTCCAAATGAACTTTATGTGTGTTCTGTCAAGTGCTTTGTTGTACCACTGGAAGATGCAAGTAGGACCTTGATTAACATGACAGTATGTTTATATATTAATGTGGGGGTGTCATGTGTATAGTTCTGAGTCTCTCCAAATCCATATAATACACATGCCTCACCTTTTATGCAAGCAGTAGTTACTTTTTATTTTCTACTTTGGGGCATGAACTTAGGGCCTTGTACTCTCGCTTATTTTTCCAGTCAAGGCTGACACTCTTCCACTTCAGGCACACGTCCAGCTTTTGTGCTGGTTAATTGAAGATAGGATACATTTCTGCCATCTAATTCTCAGACTGTCAAGTTCCACCAGTTCTCTCAATAAGGTACTTTCATAGCAAATAGGTCTAAGACAGAATCATGCATTTCACTTAATTTTCTTCTTAGTCTCTTTCAATCTAGAGCAGTTTGTCCATTTTTCTCTGACTTTCTTGACCTTGGAATCTTTGAAAATAACAAGCAGAGATTTTAATTAAATTTATTCATTAATTCCTTTGCTTATCAGAAGCTTTTTTAGCTAGCTTTTACCTACAGTTCTAGCAAGATATTTTATTCTGCTGTGTGGCATCTATTAGTCATACATGAAGTCATTTGTTGGCTCCTCATTGTCCAAAAAAGCGAATGATGCTTCTTTTATGACTCATCCTTATATATGTCTTGTCTCTGCTCCACTTCCATATTAATCCTCATCTGACAGCTGACCTATGTTCCTGCTGCTCATGGAAATCAGTTTTATTTTCTCTGTTTCCCCAGATGTCATTAAAAAATAAATCTGCTTCTCTTTCTTTTGTTTTACCTTTATGTCTGTTCTTGGGATTATTTCCTGGTTGTCTCTAAGCAAAAAAAAAACAAACCCTAAACTGCATGCACAGAAATTAAAATTCTTAAAATTGGTACATAGATTATGGTAGAAAATTCAATCAGGTATGATTGAAGTTTGAATTCTGTACATGAAAATGATAGGCCAGTTCTTCTTCACTTGAATGCTTAGATTATTTATATCATTTATTTTTATATGTAATTTATATTATTTATATTACTTAAAAATGAAAAGCAGCTGGGTGTTGGTATCTACCAATAATCCTAGCTACCTCAGGAGGCTGAGATCTGTGAAGCCAGTGAAGTGAAGGGAAATTCATAAGACTCTTACCCCAGTTAAGCAGCAAAATAAAGGAAGTAGAGGCATAACTCAAATGGTGTCCTATCACTTAAGTGGTAGAGATGCACCAGCCATAAGTGCAGGCTGCTGCTGGCACAACAACAATAAAAAGTGAGAACCACTGCGTCTGGGCACCGCAGTAAAGAGGGCTCCAGTGGTACCCAGTGGCACTGCCTCTAGGAGTCAATACTTACCGTGGTTGTTTTATAGAGTAATGAAACCCTGTGAATTTCCTTTGGTTTTCTTTTCCAAACATTCTGTAGCTTGGTTATGCAACTTTATGACTATAAAATAAAATGTTAAGATTAAAAATATGTATTGTGTATATATATATATATATATATATATATATATATATAGTTGACTAAAGCAAATATGAATTTGGATATACATGTATATGTTGTTATGGTATGCTGTTGGGGAAAAAAGTGAATGAAGCAAGGATGATTGGATAAGAGATTTATCAGCCCTGGTTAGCATAGGCCTCTCCACAGACTGACACTCATAACTTATCTTTAGTTGTAGTTTCTATCTTAGAGGAAGAAGATTTGTGATTCTTTACTAGTACACTATCAAAGAGGGAACGGCTTGTACAAAGACAAGAGCAAACAGTTTTCTCTGGAGACCTAAAAATAGATGATCAGGGCTAGTGCTTTGACCAGGAAGTGGGAAATGACAAGAGATAAGCCAGAAAAGAGCTTAGGAGCTTATAAATTATATTAATACACTGAGCTTCATCCAGAGGCATTAGGTACTATGAAAAAAAATCAAGATACTTCCTATCACTAGTGAATAATCCTTCAGACACGATCATCTTTTGTCTATGATAACTAATTCTAAAAACTTCTGAACACCAATGTTCTGTAAGATTGATGGTAAAGCCTAATCTGTCGCATTTTTGTAGAATATACTTAGTGTGGCTAATCATACTAATGCAGAAATTTTCATGTATTACATTATATAGTATACCTTACAGAGTATTCATTTATTACTGCAAACTCCAGAACATCTGGCACCAGGTGTTTTGAATAAGGGGTAATGGAGATTTGAAACAGCCTTAGAAACACAGCTGATCCCAGAATATAGACTTGAGTAGTAGTAAGAATGCAGTTGATGTGAGAGGTTGCAGGCACCTCGAGCCTCCCTCCTCCCTCTCCACCATGAACAGTTATTAGATTGGCGACAGAGCTTTAATAAGCAGGTGTGATGAGGAAAGAGTTGAGGACATTAGGAAGAGTGGTTGGAATTATAAAGATGAGGTGGCAGGAGGTGTTAGGAAAAAAGGTGGAAAGTAGATGAGCCATGGCTGAAGGCGTTTCTGAAGAACAGATCAACTCTCTTCCAGCGAGAAGCAGCTGGAGCAGAGGGGCCTCACTGACAATGTCAGGTGATGCTTTTCCATGAGAACGTATCTGTGGAAGAGTGAGCCAGTGTGGAATGGTCCAGGTCAGGAGCTGAGAGATATTGGTCAAATGCAGCATCTTCTCAAAGTGACTGACAAGAGGTGTTTGGTGAATGATCAGGTTTCCAGTAGAATCATCCCCCTGATGCTTCTCCAGGAGAGTAAATTCTTGGGTTCCATCTTAGACCTACTGCCTTAGAAACTCTGGAGATTGGGCCCAGGAATCTGCTGTAATGCGACTTCCAGCTGGTTCTGGTGTCCGTCAAGCTTGAGAACCACTGTCTCATGCAATGCTGCCAGTCAGTGACATGCACCAGATCACCTCGGGAGACTTCATAGTGTGTGTGTCTCTTTTAAATTAATAACTAAAAACAGCACATCACAGGCACCCTGTGATGTTTTGATCCATTTAAAGACAAAACCACATGATCTTATGTGAAATCTGAAAAGATTGGTCCTACAGAAGGTGAGAGCAGAACAGTGGTTAACATGGGCATGGTAGGTTTGTCTAGGAGCAGGGCCTAGGACGTGTCAGAGAAGGTTCTGGTTAAGTAGGTCTGCGATAGGAGTCTTGAATCCGTATTTGTATTATTTGGGTTTCTTTGGGCTTACTTTTCTTTTCTTAAAAAATTATTAGCTTGTCTGATTTTGAGGCAGTGTGTAGCCCCGGCTGGCCTCCATGTCCTCTTGCTTCAGTCCTCCCCACCTGTCCCTCTCCTCTTCCCCCCTTTAGTACTAGAATTATTGACATGAGCTGTCATGCCCGGATCTATATCATGTCTATATTTAATATTCCAGGTGTTTTTTTTTTATTGTAAAGATACTATACAGAGGGTTACAGTTACATGAGTGAGGTAATGAGTATACTTCCTATTGAACATTGTTACCCCCTCCATTGTTTTCCCCCTACCATCCCCTCCCTCCCTCCCTTCCCCGAGGTTCTTTTTTTTTTTATTGTGATTAAGTGATTACATAATTTCCGGAATTTCACAGTATTGTGGAATAATGATGCTCATTTAAAGTCACAAGTTCATTCTAACTTT